CTCAATCCCATTTCAAGGGACCCCTTAGGACCTTAGACGCACACTGTGCGGTGGCCGGGCCCCGGGGGGCTGGCAGGACAGGATGGCCAGCCTGCCCAGCAGCCTCTGTCCCCACCCCAGGCTGGAGAAGCTTCGCCACCAGCTCATGCCCATGTACAACTTCGACCCCACGGAGGAACAAGATGAGCTGGAGCAGGAGCTGCTGGAACATGGGCGGGACGCCGCCTCCATGCAGGCCGCCGCCTCTGCGCAGGCCATTCAGGGCAAGGTGGGCACGAGCAGACTCCCCTGCCCAGACCGCAGTCCTTCATGCATCCCCCACCCCCCCTTCTCATGCTGCTCTTGGGCCCCTGCCGCATGGTCAGGTGGCAGCTCTTGGGTACTGGGTTTTGTCAGCTCCTTTAGAAACTGGTAGAAATGCTCCATGGCCACCCACAGACTCATGGCACGAGGCCAGGTCAGGGGCCCTGGGACTGGCCTGGCTCTGCCCCGACAGCCTGCTGCTCTTAGAAGCTCCTTTGGGCTCTTTGAGGCTCAAATGAACATTGAAGTTCCTGCCCCGGCCTCCTCCAGAGTCTGGCTAGGAAAGCTGGAAAAGACTGATGGTGAGATGATGGGGGCTGGGACCCTGGTTCCTCTGCTCCCTGATACCCGTAGTCCTGCGTGGGTCGTGGGTGGGTCAGCTGCATGGACAGGGCCCCTCTGAGTAGGCTGGTGGAGTCTTCATTGCTGACAGACCCAGGTGGGTCGAGTCTCCAGCCAAACTCACCTCCTGTGTCCAAAGGCACAGGTGCCTCTGGGTGCCCGGGTGGTCATCTGGCCAGAGCCACTGCACTCCTGACCACTTGCCACCATCCCCCCGAATCTCCAGAGTGCCATGAGGGGACCTGGCCCGTCCTAACCCATCCAGCCTCTTGGCATCTTCTCAGACTCAGGACGAGTCCAGGCTGGGGGTCTGAAGACATCTTGCTTTTGCCACCACTTCTGTCACCTGGTCAGGATATTTTTCCCCCTGTGCACCTCCCTGCACCGCCCCTGTGCTAGGGCTGCCTGGGGGTGCAGAGGTGAGCACCCCACCCCTGCAGGAAGGCAGGGTGTCCTGCCAAGGTGACAGGGCGGGCTGAGGATGGCTGTGGGGGAGGGGGAGTCGCCAGAGCCAGGTCATATTTCTGGGCTGCGCCCGCAGTGTGGGCATTCCAGGCAGAAGACACAGTGCTGCCAAGCACATGCACGCACCAGGAGGCAGGGTGGCGGCTGGGCCAGGGGCACGGCCTCGGTCAAGGTCCCTGATGCCCCGACCGTCTTCCCGCAGACTACTCTCCCCTCCCAGGGCCCGCTGCAGAGGCCCAGCCGGCTGGTGTTTACCGACGTAGCCAACGCCATCCAGGCGTGAGCAGCCCAGGGACCGGCCGGGACCTCTGACAGAGACGCCGCCTGGTGCCTGCAGACTGCCCACTTTCTGTCAAGACCGCTTCTCAGGACCTGCCTGGCCAAGACAGGGAAGGGCCGACCAGGCCCCAGCTGTTCTGCGCAGCCACCTGCTGGCTCTCCGGACTGTAAGAGAGGGCCCTGGCCAGGGTGGGCATCTGGCCACTGACCTCTCCTGACCTGGCACAGAGGGCATCCCTCATGCTGGGAAGCCCAAACACCACTGCTGGCTCCGTGTATCCCATCCAGACCCCTCACACTGGGATCTGCTTCTCTAATGCAGAGAAAAAGTGGAGATGTGGGGGGAAAGGGGGGGAAATGGGGGCTCCTCTCCTTTTTTTTTTAATCTGGAGCCTCCTCCAGGGTGAGAGGCAACCACCCAGGTCACGAAGACAGAGTAAAACAGCATCTGTTATGGGTCCCAAGGGGCCCAGGGCTAGAGCCGAACCTCGCAGGAGACAAGGGTGCAGGAGTGGGGCTGCTCAGACCCCGGTCCAGGGTGTGGCAGAGGGTCCAGAGATCTCCAGGCCACCGTCTCTGACAGCCACGTTTGGTGGGCTCAAGCTAGGATGGGAGCTAAAGGGGAAGGAAGTGGGGGAATGGGTGTAGGAGGAGGCAGCCCCCGACCTGCTGACAGGTCTCCTGCACGTGCGTGAGTGACCACGTGCAGACACCTATCTGCCGCTGTGTGGGGGCCAGGAGACCTGTGTTGGCCCTGTCCTCCAGGCCAACGCCCACCCATGGTAGGCAGGGCAGCATCAGGGCTTCTGGGCCTGAAGGGAAGAGGGACGTAGGGCAGGTCCGGTTCTTGGCTGGTCTGGGAAAGCTGGGTTAACCTGCTTGTGAAAACGGCTCCTGTCTTGGGCCGTACTGGGGGTTGGGGGCTGGGGAGAGGCCGATGGGCTGAGGGCAGTGGTCGCATGCTACAATCCTGCCGGCCTGGGACTGGGTGCGGAATTGCCTCTTGGAAAAATGATCAAAGAAACCCAGTCTCCTTTTGAACTCCCCCTTCTCTGTCCTACCCACGGCGGGTCCTCTTCACGTTTTAAGAGGTGGTACTGCACCTCTTAACGTCTTCGCACTTGGCCTGCCGTGAGTCCTGAGTGGCCAGGCTGATGCCAGGGGCGCCTGGGCAGGGCATTGGACAGGCTGACCCAGTGCCGGCTATTTTCACCACACTGAGCACACACCCATACATGAGTATGCACAGAGACGTGTCCCCGAGCCAGGCCTCGCCACTGTCACTGTCCTCCGCTGGCTGGAGGGGGCATGGAAGGTACGGAAGATCTTCCATTGGGCAAGTATCATGTGTCAGGAGGCGAGGGCCCAGGAGGCCCCCAGGGAAGGTTCTGGATTCATTCCTTCTAGATGCTATAAATATGTTAGCACTTGAGCCGACTGGAGGGCTGTGGGTAATTTAGGAAGCACAAAGCTGTCATTTAACTCACAGCGTCTCCATGTGAGAGCATTAAAGATGTAATTAAGATGTTTACACGAAGACAGTGTGAGCCAGTGACACTCGGAGTGTGGAGCCCCAGGAGGGGGGCGGGATGGGTGAGGGGCTGCGGGGGCCTGAATCCCGGCTAGAATCCCGGCTATGAGTCGCAGCCTGGCTGGAGTTCCCTCATGTACCTGAGGAAGTGCCCCTGGTCCCGAGTTCAAGGCTGCTCTGGAGTGGAATGGGGCGATGCCTGGCCCTCTCTGGGGTGGGGAGGTCAAATGGACCTCCTTACTGTGCCCTCGCAGCGGCCCCCTCATCCTCCCGCCCAGCGCCTCTGTTCTCCAGACCCTTCTCCCAGTCGTGGAGCAAAACCAAAGTCCCCAGTCTCCCGGGCGTGGGCGGAGGTTCAGGTGACACGTCCTGTGGTCTTGGACCTGGTGGGCTGACCAGGGCTCTCCTCACCGCTGCAGCCAGGCCCCAGGTTGACTGGTAAGTGGGGCCCTGCGGGAAAGCCCCCACCCCGACCTGGCACACACCCTTCAGTCGCCGAAACCCCCCATGTGAACGGCAGCCTGGCTTCGGGTCCAGAAGCTGTGGGGGCCTGCAGTGGGCGGCGTCGGGTAGACGT